TAGATGGTTTCAGAAACCCGACATATATGCAATTTTCTTTTCATTTGATCTTGCTAACAAACAAAATTGACCTTCAACTTTATATATTAGTTGACTTGTAAAATAACCACATAAACTCATAATTCAAAGCCAAACTAATGTTTTCGAATTGTGATTTACCCGCGCTGCATCGTGCGGGTACACCACTAGTATATATATATATATATATATATATACATATATATATATATATATATATCGCGCGGGTACACCACTTATATATATATATATATAAAGATATTTGTGAATGAACTATTTAAGACAAATACATATATATTTCTGAAGAAGATGATAAATTACAAATCACAAATATGTACCTATATACAAGACATGAACCGACACCATCAAACAATGTGATGGTTCGACCCTCAACCACCTATAACTGCTAATTACCATCGGTGTTGATGTGTCACATGACACATGTATTTAATTACATAACAATACTAAAATATTAGTAATTAAATGTCTAATACTTAACAAATGATAATGATATTTAATTTCCAACATTTTTATATTTAATGAACATAAGGCTGCCTATAAAAATCATGAATTTATATTAAACATTCTAACAACCTTTTAAAGGTTCATTGTGTATTGATTATGCAGATGCATCATCCCATTCCCAAAGGTTTAGAAATTTCTAAATCCATATAAATCGATTGCTTCGCTCACTACATGCATTAAAAAACGTAAAACTAGTTACCCAACATTTACATCAATAAAATCATTACTTGGTTAAAGTGGGTGCTTCACTCACGGCATGCATAAAAAACGTTTTAAAAAAGCTAGCAAATGAAAAAGTAAGGAAATAACTTTTAAGATGAACACACACACATATAGATACATAGAATTCTATATATATATCTATGAGGTCGAGTATGGATTTCTGTTTACTCACTTTAAATTGAGTATCCGTTTCCCTCCTTTTGTTGCTAGGATTGGAAATCCAGTATTTTACATATCCATACGATATGATTGAGATAAACAAAGAGGATCCCAAAAGTCTCCATGCATGATAAAGAACAAACTAGCTACCAAAAAGAAGCCAAAACACACAAGATCCGGAAACCAAACCATAACTGACCCCATATACAACGGACTATGTTATGTGAGGGTTTCACTTAGGGAATGGAAAAGAAAAAGGAGCTGGCAATGCATGAATCAGACTAGAGAGATTCTTAATCATCTGTTAGACCCCATAATTCTTATATGCAAAAGTAATGAAGAAAACAAGTGATGAAGAACCAGAAGGCCGATGGAAGACTGCCAAGCAAAATAGCTAAGTGTTCAATACAACCAGAGGGTCGATGAATCGACCAGAGATGTGATGGATCGAGCATCTTCATAGCCCCTCTGGTTACCAACACTTGGAGTTTTCTACTATAGTTCAACCAGAGGCATGCGATGAAGATATGAAGATAAGGTTGAATAACGCCCCATGGAAGACAACTGGCGATGACTAATCGACAGCTGGATTCTACAAAGTTTACCTTGTTTTGTTTATTATCCATGTTTAGATAAGCTTTATCTTTACTAGAAGATTAGCTAGATAGTCTCTTTAGATAGTTATCTTAAATTAGCTCTCTAGTATAAATAGGTGATTAGGCCTATTGTAATCTTTGATGTTTTTTACAATCATTGAAATAAAAGTGAATCCTTTGACACTCAAGTATATTCTTCGAATGTTCATCTTTTGTTCTTGAGTGTTCATCATTTTATTCATCCAAACTATATAATTAGGTTATTCTTAAATTAATTATAAGTGTTATTGACAGACCTGGGATCAACAATTGGTATCAGAGCCAATTGATTGTTCTTTAATCAAAACGATCATCAAAAACTCTCAATTCGCCTTTTTCACTCTTTTTAAGTTTCATAAAAATCTTCTCTAAAAAGCGTAATTCTTCCCTTCCAAATCTTCAATGGTCAACTGGAATTCTGCTTATAGTGTTGGTTCCCTCACCAAACCACCAACTCTTCAAAGAGAAGAGTATCCGCAATGGAGGATAAGAATGGTAAATTTCTGGAAGGGATGGATAGAAATCTTCTGCGATCTGTCATGGAGGGACCCTACATACCACAGACTCTTGTTCCAAGAGTCCCAGAAACGAGCACCACAGGAGAAATACCATCCTACTACATGCCCAAGGATGAGAATAATTGGGATGAAGATGATATGGAGCACGTAGAAACTGACAAGAAGGCCAAAAGATTAATTATCATGGCCATTCCCAATAAAATCTTCCAATCCCTCGATGCATGCACCACATCAAAAGAACTATGGGATGAGCTGGCAAGTCAATTGGAAGGAGAAGCAAAAGCGAAGAAAAATCATAGAGCTCAATGTCTCAACGAATATACCAACTTCAAGGCTCTTCCTGATGAACCGATTCAGAAGACGTACGATCGTTTCAACACATTGATCAATCAATGTCGATGAAACGACATCTCCAGGATGAAGGAAGAAAATAATGTGTTATTCTTTAAAAGTCTCGGCCATGAGTGGACACAGCTGTCGATGTCCCTCCAAGCAAATCAGGACTTAGACAACTCGTCACTTCATGACGTCTATGGAACACTGGCTGCACAAGAGAATGATATAATGAAGAGAAAATTATCCATCGGTAGACCCATTGCTATTGCTACAGAAGAAAAGGATGTTTCAAGGACTTCCACCAGAGACCACAGGAGAAAAGGTAAAAAGGCACTGGTAGTGGAATCAGATTCGGAAGACGAGACATCCGAATCCGATGATG